CCCCTCAATTTGCTGTGCAAACTTTTCTACCAGCAATCTTGCTCCAACGTATCAAATGTAGCTTATTTTCTAAAAGGAAATTTTATCTTCATGGTTTATGGAGATCATTTTTGTGATTTTTCTATGGGTTTTCATGATAACTGGAAAAAACCGGGATAAAATGTGAGAAAACGAAAATGTACGAAATATAGGTATTAGTAAAAAAATATTATGGTTTATTTTTCTATGTATAACTTTTTTTACCAGTAATTTTACTCCGATATACAATTTAATAACTTTTTCTGAAAGTAAATCTGACTAAAGAGGTATTTTAAGGAAACTATTTTTCGATTTTTCCAAAAGGTTTTTTTTTTTTTAAAATTTGGTATAATATTATTTGAATATTATTAAAGAAAATATATAATGCCTATTTAATTATTTTCCATAAAATGACGTATTATATATTATTGACAAAGCATCACTGTCAACTGAAGTGCGCTCAGAATCGTTTTTTCATAAGTTATTGTTTACCGTTGCTTACAGAGATACGTTAAACTATCTGTAACAGTGGCTGCACTCGTCTCCATTGTCTTAGTTTGTTTTTTTTTTTTTAATAATGTTAAAGTATTTAATAAAAAAGTTTTATCAAAATAGGTAGTTCAAAGTAGTTCTCGAGATTTTTGATAACATAGAAACAGACGGTAGGGTTGGAAGTTCAAACCTTCTAAAGGTACATGCTCACAACAATTATGTTTATATTATATACACAATTTCACTAAGTTAAACCTTCATCGGTCGGTAAGTTTATATAAAACATGCTATTTCCTATGAAAAGATTAAATCTGAATATAAAAACGGTTGTGGGGGGGGGTTGAAATTTTAAAACAGCCATAGGCACATTCTTTATACTTATAACAAGCATATACAAAATACTATCCTCCTTACATCATTCAAAAGGGAGTGTGGTCTGTGGGACATCTAAATCCCCACAGAGTAATACCATCCTCCCATAATAATATGGTGAATTTTACATTGAAATTCAAATTAAATTATGTCTCATCAATCTAACTGTAAAAAAAGCTCTTATTCCCAATTTTGAGTTCCCTGTGGTTTAAGAGGACCGTTAAAAGTATCCAAAAGTTATGCATTTAAAATTAGGGGTTTTTACATGATAAGCTTTAAATTGGGGCAATAATGATTATTTTTGGAAAAAATCGAGTTACCCCTATATTTTGCAAGATAATTTCGCCAAAAATTCATTGGTGTGATTTATTTGTATATTTCACAAGTAAAAACCGGTAAAGTCAAAGTTTTGAAACGAAAAAAAAATTCCAAAAAAACTATATTCTCATAGGCCACGTATGAAAATACCACCCCGTAGAGTTGACCATTAATGTCTGAAACGTCCTGTATACGAATAATCCATCTTTTTTCGGGGAAAATTCGACAATTATTAGTTTTGTTGTGACTTTTTTATTATTTTATGATCGTATAGATTAAAATTCCAGGTGTATAAAAATAACTTGTGGCCGCATCCATTTTTTTTTTTTTTTTTTTTTAATATTATTATTATTATTATTATTTCATTAGTATTTCAACCATTACTATAGAATATAATCCGAGGCACAATATTTCTTAATCCGACCCTGTTTAACCAGTCATGCTATCTTGAATCGTGAATTACCATTAAAACGTCAAAGTTTATCGCAACGAAAAATAACGTTACATTTCACAATAATAACCCGTATTTTTGTTTCGATAATAAAATATTATTAAGATAATTTATTACGTTATTATTATGTATTGTAACTGTGACTACCCCCCCCCCCCTCAGTTTCATACGATAAACTGTAAAACGTGTACCTAATTGAAGATGTACTTTATTAGAAATCCGTTAACGGATTATTCAAAGTGTGGGCGCGTTCAGTTGTACGCGAAAAAAATCAATTTAAAAATGGTTGAACCGCCGCGGATACAGGGCAATAATTATTATTTAAATTGTTTATGGGTTGAACACGAGCCCCGATTAACTATCGATTATCAATGTGCCGTTACCAAAATACTATCTATCGATTCGACACATGTTGCACGTACGCACACCGCGGTTGTAAAATAAGATCTCGTGATGATATATAGCCCTGCGTTTACGACCATAGGATAATTTGGGCGATGCGTTGTGTTCGATGTACCGTATTGAGATCCGTTAATGTACATTAAATATACGTTAGTTTGAGAGTCAGCGAAACGGAGCATTATTTTTATTTTTTTTTTTTTTTAAACGAGCGAGGTCAAATCGGATTTTTCGTTCAAACCTAATCGACGTGTAAACGATGGAGAGATATCAATTTCGAAAATCCGATAATATTGTAAACGAACTAAACTTTTGGAGGTGGTAAAAAAAAACACAACCACGTACAATTCGCATACAGTTAGCTACGAGTGAAAAGTGACCTGGGTTACCGGTACCTAGGTAAATGTAAACCAACATATTATTCCATAGTCTGACCTTTGTAAACGCAACTTGTATAGGAATCCGTCGACGCCTTCTGTAAAACGGTGGAATTAAACTATCTTATTTTATAATTGTCCACTTTTTATAAGTTAGAAATAATACATTTTGGTGTTATTTTCAAAAAAAAAAAAAACTGTTTATTAAAAAACGCTGCTTCGTACTAAGCGCTGTGTGTGTATTGTAAAAATACATTAAGTCGTATATTATCACGAACAGTCCAGAAAATACGGAATAAAAACAAAACAATATTACTATGGAGACAACTTTAGTATTTCTGTGTACCACTGTTTTCCGTTCGATTTGTACGGATTGGAACCTAACCTAATCCGGTAAATATGTTATAGATTACATTATAATTATTTCGTCCCTAGTATTGTCTGGTTTCTATACTGACAAAGTATACGTTATAATGGCTGTCTAATTTTGATATTTATTTACACTCTGTCGGTCATTTTCTGGCCATAATATAATCTCTCTATGTCCAATTAATAAATCACATTATTATTTTATTTTTTTTTTTTTTTTGGGGTGGGGAAGGGTGGGAAAAATCTATAACACTATAGACGACGTGACAGCGGCGTCAATGTTATATCTAAAGCCGAGTGTATACTCACTGGTGACAGCACTTAAAAAACACAATAACACCGGGGTATCATATTTCGATAATGATATTGTCGATGTTCTAACTTATAAAATAACATTGAATAAAGAAACGAACGGTGGTTTTCTTCCGTACAATAAACAATAATAATTGTCAAGTTATTTCGGCACCTATTATTAAATCTAAAAAGTAATAACAATAATCAACCGACAATGTGTTTTGTGACAGGGTAGAAAGTTTATATTTGAACATGTCTAATCAATATTTAAATACTCAATATGCACGCATACGGAACGAACGGTTAACGTTTACATATACTGAAGAGTTCATAGAGAAGTATTCAAAGGCGTTCGTGTATTTTTGTAAATAAAAAAAATATATAAAATAAAGTCCACATTAGAAATTTAAATTTAGTGACACTATTATGCTTTGCGAAAAGACACGAAAAAGGCAGAGAAATACCGTTTTTTGTTTTGAAGTTGTCATTGTTTATGGGGGGAAAAAAAAAACAAATATTGCGCAGTATTCATATCGAAAAAAAGGGTTCCGTGAATATAAGAATTAAAAAAAAAAAAAAAAAACGTGTTTGGCGATTTCAAAAATTATACTTTGGCATACAGTATTGAGACCGGATATAATTTAATGAATACCGAAATTGTAATTGACAGTACTACAAACTCAAGTCCTCTACATTAGCCAGTAATTTATGGCTTAGTGTTCGGTATAGGTAATAAGGAAACCGAAATATTACGCTACGATGCAACGTAGTGCGATCGTTTTCGAACAAAAGATAAAATCGTTGGTTTTTATCGTGTAATTACGTACGACCGAACGAGCTATACTATTATTACGCCGTACGTTACGAATTTAAAAGTACGGAAAGCTGCGCTGAAACGCATTTTTCGTGGTTATTGGTACTGATATTGTGTATACTGTAAAACGGTCGGGGCCATTACATATACCTAATTGTGTCGAGTTTCAAATATCCCGATATAGATGTTTATCGCGTGTTCAGCAAAGGATTATCGTGCATCAAGCGCTTATTGCAAAATATAATAATAATTTTGTTTTTCCGAAAGCATTTTTATCTGCAATCGGTCTGCGATATAAACTGTAGCATCTGGGTGCAATCGTTTTGTCTATGAAAATAAAAACGAATTTAATCAAACGAATGACGAATTATTATTGTGTTCATATCGTTTTATTCAAATGCTTTTCGGTTCTTGCATATATATATATATACAGACACTATTTCTTCTTCCGGTATATAGGTTAGTTTTGCTCCACCCGTCTCCATTACCAGCTACCGTTTTCAATTCATCGCAGTTTGCTAGTCCCGCATCGGAAATCATCTTTTTGATGATTCGGTTCGTAGATGCTCATCTTCGTGTTTCAGGACACGTCCAATCATAATCCAATATTTTGAATCATGCCGCGTGTTTGTGGTTAACGTTTAATTTCATTCGCCAACGGCAAAACATAATACAAATATCGTTACCGTCTAAGATAACGGAACGGTTAAAATTGTTTAATGACGGATCCGCATTAGCAACCGGCGCGATTTCGGGAACAAAAGTAACCCGCACGTGGTCTCGCGAAAGAAGGAGCGCTAAACATCGCGGAGAACGCGGACCACGCACCCGTCCGTTCCGTCTCGTTTTGAACGGCCGGACTCGGCGCCACCGACTCGCCCCGCACGTTATGAAAACGGTCAAGCGCCCGCCGATAAACGTAACGTTATTATAACCGAACTACCGCCGAAACGTCGCGCGCGCGCGCGCGCGCACACACGACACGTTTGATCGATCACAAATCGCGTGTTATCCCCGTGCACGGCGTTATAATACCGTATTTATTATAATGTAAACGGCGGAATTACTGTTGTGACAGGCGGTCGGTGTTAGAACGATGCGGGTCGCGGTCGCAGCGGCCCGGCGGTGGTACCGCGGTGCCGACGAAAAGGTTAGATGCGCGTCGGTTTCCGGAAAGGGATAATCTCCGCTCCGGACGGAACTCCGCCGCACGCGACGCCGTTACAGTAATACGTGCCCGCCGCGGGGTGTGCGAAATATATTATACCGCGCGCCGTCAGAACGGGACCGGCCCGGCTCCGAATCCGGCGCATTCGACGTAATCGGCGGTAACCGTGCAGAATCGCAAACACGTTCTCTGCGATCCGAACTCTCGAGCAGTTAAATATCTTGGACTAACTGTAGATCGCAGATTAACCCGGGCCCACCATATTAAGTCTAAACGAATAAACTTAAACTCTCGTGTACGCCTTCTTAAAACATTTATTAACAATAACAAATTCACTGATATCAACACAAAACCGCTCGTATATAAATCTTTAATCGAACCAGTATGGACCTACGGCATCCAGCTATGGGGTAATGCTAAAAAATCGGACCTCAACCAAATTCAAACCTTCCAAAACTCAACCCTCAGGAAACTACTCAATGCTCCACCTTACGTCTCGAACTGCACTATCCACTCAGACTTAAATATGAAAGCTGTCCAGGAAGAAGCTAAAGCACACTATAAGCGCTTTCATAACCGTCTGTCCTCCAACTGTAATCCACTAATCCGCGATCTCGCAGTCCCGACCATTCCTGGCAATCATCCTAGGCGTCTCAAACGCAAATGGTGTCGTGAACTTCTCATCCCCCCCCCATCTGAATTTAAAACATAAAAAAAAAAAAAAATAATACTCAAAAAGTGAGTGTCATTGATGGATGGCTTCTCACATCTCGTGTTTCTTGTAAATATATACGTTTATATTAGTTCTCTTTGGATGTATTAATGTAATATATATATGTAATCTCACTCTTATCGCATGTACTCATTGTGCCTATTAGGTATAGATTGTATATTTCAAATAAAGAAAAAAAAAAATAAAAAAATATTCTCTTTCGAAACGGTATAGTTACATTATTGCCGTCGCGGTATCGCGGTGTTGTGTCGGAGTTTTTGAATCGCCCGCGGATATGTGTATTATCATTGTTTTTTTACTCAAACGATCCAGCGACACCATGCCGGCGTTCTGTTTTTCTCCCGACTCGGGCACACTACCGGCGAAAATGCCTATTCGCATTGTTTTCAACGAAAAACCCGTTTCGCGCGATACACTCCGCCGTTCTCCGCTTTACAAATATCCAGCTATCGCTTAGCCATTCGACTTTTCGGGCCCAACAGGTTTAGTTAATGCAAACCTTTTAGATCGCAAAGCGCACCGGGTCATAAGGAACGATGCGCTACCCGTGAGGCTGTAACACGACCGGCAGCATTTAGCCGTAGGGCGAGAGCCGTACAAATCGACGAAAACCACGCGGAAAACAATATGGACGCCGGTGTATACTTTGCGATACTCCAACCCCCCCCCCCCCCCCCCCCCNCCCCCCACCCCCCGAATGACGTCCCCGGCTTACTGTACGCGCTAATAATACTGTCGTTGTTCTCGCGAGACGGTACGGGAAAAAGAACGCGCCGGAAGTCGGGCCTCTTCGGCTGCACTGCACACTCGACCGAGAGTGTTTGCGCCCTCGGTTTCCGGCGCCGCGGTCCGCTCGTCCGGATTACGCTCGTCGCGGGGTTTATTCGCGAAATTTGGCGCAGTACGGACACGTAGTTTTTCGTCTACGATCCACGCGCACACACCCGCCGTGTATATATTATAATATAGGACAGAGTTTCCGTAATATTCGTGTATTTTCGGTACGGTGTTCCAAATTATTCGGGACGAGGCGCACGTCCACCAAACCGCATTGTAGTTCATAGCTGCGCTATTATAAATTATAATATTATACGCGGGACAGCACGTCCTGGCGTGGCGATAACCAAATCCCCGGGTCATTCGTTTAAAGTTATAATAATAGAAATAATCGACCGAGTTTTCCGCCGGGTGGTGCGTTCTACCATAAAACGTTATAGTATGAACTCTTTAAAAAACGAAAGTTGTCTATTGATTCGATAGTTAGGTATGCGTATAATTAAAAGGAAAAAAAAAAAAAATAATAATAACAACAGTAAAGTCGTCTCGAAAAGTTCTAAAATCTCGTCTACAAACAGTGATAGTTATCGAGATAGTTGGCGTTCTACATATATCGGTTCAATAATGATACTGAGACGTGATTTTCGATACAATTGTTTCGTTATAAACCGTTTTACAAAATGTCTTAGATTTTGTAAAACTTGAAAATATGTCTGATTTTTTTTGATCTATTTCAATAACCTTAATCATCTTGATGAAACAATCTAAAATATCTGAATGATAAGAGTTTCCTCCAATCTGCTGCCCGATGTCCATTTAAAAGGAAGGGTATCTACGGTAATGACATTTTAAACCTAAAAACCAGACAAAAACGTTGGAATTGAGATACGTTAGAACTATTTTTGTTTTTGCAATTTGAACTTTCTTTGCCATAAGGGAAATTATATGGTACAAGTAATAGAACCTGGAGAATCATAATTCGTGTTCAAAATTGAAATCAGTCAAGTATAATTCTTAAGTTTTTTGCTTGTTTCTATGTCTAAATCGACTAGTATATAGCAATTTTCTTAACACGGTGACAGTTATTACCGAGTCTCGCGTTAGTAACTACATACGATAAGACGCTTTCCTTATCAATAATGTTAACATAAAAATTAACCTACTCGATGAATTACACCACGTATCTGCAGCATGGGATGAAATTACGGTTGATGTCATTGAAAAATGTTTTCATAAAGCATATTTCGTTGAGGGTGATTACTGTGCAATGGAAAATAGCAGCACAGTTTTTCAAGAATCTGAGAAGTTTATTGAATATGCAAAAATTGACAACGACGTCACCACTAGTTACACTAGAAGCATTGACCAGATAGTTACTGATAAAATTGCATTGGCTAATGTAACTTCTATAGAGGAAGATCGCGAGGGAAGGAAGAAGATGATACAACACTAATTCTTCCGGTAACAAATGCACTCGATCATTTTTATATGCTAAGAATATTGGTTGCATCTTTTGACGATACTGACGAAATGTTACATCATCTTAATAAATTTTAGAACTTGGTTCATTGGCGCAGTCGCGTCACAATACTAAGTTCGATAATAACTATACCACCGCCTGTTCGAACGATTGTAACCAGTGGTGAAAGTGTGGGAGACGGAGGGGGGTGGAGTGTCCTTCTTATTTAAGGTAAATGTATTGTCGGACCCCTTTAGTTAAAGTGTTTGAAGTCGGGAAGAGGGGCGCTTTATTTATTGCCACTGGCACAAGTTTAATGATATTTTAAAAACTTGAATTGATTTTAATAAAAATGAATTCTTGAATATCTATTAGATTATACGTAATCAAATTATTTTATATTATTTTTACTGAACAGGCAACATATTTGAGAAGGTGAGGTGCAGTTTTTTTTTTTGGAAGCTTATATGACGTATAATATTTTTATTAACAAATGTCTGTGAGTAGAAAAAATTTCGGAAATCTCGGAATTGACGTCTCCGTGACGAGTTTCTTGAAGTTTCGTTAGGTTTAGCTAAACGTCCCCTTTATTTTCGGTTAATATTTCCCCCTTTCGCAATTTTAACAACTCATAGTAACTATCACGGTTGTGTATTTCACAACTATCACAATAGTAAAACTATACCATCGTGTGGGCTATGTTTAAAGTCTTAAAGATATTTTCTTTTTTTTTCTTTTTGGTCCGTATGCGGGAATTCAGAAAATTAACAACATAAGCATATTATACTACATTTTAATCTGCGCGACGTAGAATAAAACTTAAATAATTAAGTAAATAAATAATATTTCTCTCGTAATAAACAAGCTCGTATATTATCTATACCATAATGTTGGTATAAACAAAATGCTAAAACCGTATTTACATTATTTATTGTGCAGCGTTTGAGAAAACGGAACCGGAAACAAAAAAAAAAACAAAAACAAAAACAAAAAACAAACACACACAAGAATATACTCGTATTCTCGTGTTTTGCAAGAGAAATATTTCGAGTATTAAACTATACATTTTTCAAAAAAAAAACAAATATTTCCTTGTAACGAAACGATACGTAAAAATTCGTATTTGTATACGGAACAACCGCAATGGGTAAAGTCTATGATAGTAAAATGTTTCTAGTTTGTTTTTATTTCTTGGCGTTTTTGGACGGAATGCGACATTTTTCGTGTATCTATTATAACTACTGTTACGATTATTGTTTACGCACTGAGCGCCGGCCCATTTATTCTAGAAGTAATTAATAATCTCGATATGCGGATTTTACCGATTAAAAAAAAGAAGTAATTCGTTTTTATCATTTTTCTAATAAGTATCGTTGAATTCATTGCCCCTTGCGTAATTTCATTTGTTTAACGAAATTTGAGAAAAGACGGTCATCTAGATTCTAGAACACGGGTTGCAATGCTGCACTGTGTTCTTGCATTCGATCAATACTATAATTGTTATCATAATAGCCCAATAGTTTAAGCAAGGGGGGGACATGTCTCCCTTCACCACTTGAAAAACAGTTAAACCAGCAAAAATATTGCTTTTTATTGATCCTAGACGCGCCATGCATGACGAACAACCTGAATGATTATTGATTTACTCTCTCACGTAACGGACCTCTCATAACTATAGCATCTTAGCTAACCTTTTGTACGTGTTCTTGTATCTATACAGTAATATTCAAATTAGTTTTTCGAAATTAGTTTCCAGTATGCTCCTTCCCTGAAAATTACGTTATGACCACTCATGATTGTTTATCAATCAATCATTACGCCCACTATAGTTTAATTGTCATTAGGTCCCATACAGCATTTGGGAAATGATAATATTTTATAAATATTTTGAAGTGGTTAAATAATAAATATTTTACTAATAACATTGTCTGAATATTTTATTCTTGTGATAACATTTTGTTATGATTTATAAAAATGTTTTCTAATTATTTGTGTTATGTTTCAAAGAAAATATAAAAATTATACGGGATAGAAATATGAGATTAAAATGTCTGATGAATTTTTATTAAAAATATTTTCCAAACATGAACTATTTAGACGAAAAATATGTCGATACATTTATACCATTATTAAACAATAATCGAAAATATTTTGACAACCATAAAATGTTCCTAAAAATATTTTGTTCAAATTATGTAAATGTTTTTTTGCTGTGTATGCGTATAAATTATTATAAAATTAAAATACAATTATAATACTAAACATATTTTGCATAGAACAAGTAACGATAAAAAATGTATAAACAATATTATTATCATTATTATTATTTTTTTTATGAATATTAACTTCTACATATTCAAAACAAATTTACTTTGCTATTTACAAATTAGGAATAATGCAATCGAAAAATGTATACACAGAAAAAAATGACTGATACGTGCATTCATTTTTGTATTTTATGATGATATTTACATTACTTAATATTGATAGTTTTATTGATAATTGTATGTTTCAAGAATTATACTATTCGTGCGTTCTCGTGGGACAACTGGTCCATTAACGAACACAGATTTATCGAATTAACGGCATCCCGTAAGTAAGTGTTTTACCGTTGACCTCACACGATTCGCACACCGGGGAATCTGGTGTCAGACCAAATCTCGTCTGGACAAAATCCTGTCAAAAAAAAAAAAAAAAAAAAAAAAGGCGAAACATAATACAAAGTAAATGTATTTTTCTCAGAAAAATTTCCCTTCAAACTTTACCTTAAAAGTGGGCGTTAGTGAATCTTAAAGTTACATGTTTGAAATTCATTTAACATTAAATATAGGCATGTTTAAAAAAGTTGTTTTGTATACTTATATGTTTTAAAAATCTGAGAGCTGCGACAGGTGCTTCCAGAAGTAACCCGATAGTCACCTTACTATATCTAAAGGGAGAAACATCTCTCCGTTTTAGTATAAGTAAATTATCACTAAATTGTATAGCTCGTATTCTATTTGCCTCATAAAATTCGAACTTTTTCATTAAAAAAAAAATGGTTATGGTTATGGCTTATGGTTACCGAAAGAAAATGTTAGATGCAAATATTAAATCCAATACTATATGTCAACGCGAATCGTATTACTCCATAGAGAAAACCGAATTATTTAATGGATATTAGTCTAAGGGTCTTTCTTACCGACATTAACGTTGATGTTTAAATAGAGTTTTTAAAATAACTGACCAATCGTGGTCGATTATTAACCATAAACTCACTTTAAAAATGTGTTAAAAAATTGTTCCCTTCACAGAGAACAACATATTGATCGTGATGAGTGAAAATAAAAGCGCAACTAATGTATCTAAAAGAAAATAAGGCGGCGAGGAATGAAAAATTGACCACATGTTATTACCGGTGATATCGCCAGTGTTTAAAGGTTTGTATAACGTCAATCTCCACGAAATTCATCTGATACTTGGGTAGTATATGTGTCTAAAAAGTACCAAACTGCAAGATATCAGTAAAAATGTTCATGATAACTCTAAATGTATAACTAGTCACATATTATGCGTGTTTATTACATTTGCCAATATCAACACACCGATTTTTAGAAACTAAAATACTTTTTAACAAAACGTATATAACCATCGTAAATATAACTACTAGGTACAAACTAACATTCTGAACTTAACTCTGATTGAAGCAAACATAAACACACACGCGCGCGCTCACACATATACGCTCACAAGCGTATAGGTAGAAAGAAAACACGGTATTTATATAAATATTATAACAAAAAGTACATAAATGACTTATATACTTCTCACTCTTTGTGTTCTTTAAGAAATCCAAAAAAAAAAAAAAAAAATCGTTTTCCATAAAGCAACATATTTTATTTCTGAGTATAACGCACTTTGGTTCGTTTTACAATGTTTAAACGAAAATTGTGAAATGCGAAAATAAATAAACTACAAAGCGCAACATTCGTTACGTATGGCTGCGAAAACGAGAAACGAAAAAAATCTTGTTCAAAGCACAAAACAACACACAGACACCAGCTAATACTGGGAAATATGATTTAGCGAAAAAGATGATGCGGTTATCTAAATTTACATAAAATTATTAATTTCCACGATTAAAGAGTAGAAACTCTGTCTTAGAAATTAATAATATTATTATAATACCGCACCGCGTCACATAATAACGTTAAAATTAAAACGTCAGAAATCTGCAGGATAAATGCCGAGAGTATTATAAAGATAATTTTTAATTTCCATTTTTCGTTAACACTGTTGTTCAAATTGAATTTGGACTGAACCACGAAGGAATAATAATTTTCTCGGTAAAACTGAAATAGTTGGCAAGTAAATAGAAGTTTTGAAAAATACATTAATATAATCGTCTGCGCCTTGTAACTTATCCCTGTAATAACTCGGAACTATTATTCATTCAAATTCAAAATTTTTGAATTCAAAGTCCGTTTACTCCGTATTATTATATTACCTATAAAGTACGGTAAACTATATAATATGATAATTGTTTTTCCCAAGACTATTGAATTGTAGTTTTCGCGGAACGAGAATGCAAAAGAAAATCACTATGAAAGTTATTTCTAGTGCGCAATAAAAAATTATAATAATATATTACACAGCAGGGTTCTAATTTGAAAAAGAAAAAAAATGCCGTTTTACGTTATTCAGTTTTGAATGGTTTTATGAATTTTTCGTTTTACGTTGTTTTGATTTAAAATATGATACAACTTTTACGTTTAACATTATTTAAAATCAAAACGCTACCTATAAGTGCATTTGTTTCGCATTTAACGTTATTGGAGAAAACTATGAAATGTTAGAAAATCGTAAAGCCGAACACATCGTATTATGTATGTACAGTTAAACGTAGGAAAAATCATTTAGCGGAATAATCATTATTCATTGCGATGGACTTTTAAAACCAAAAAAACAGACATGCATCGTGGGCGCAGCCACTTTGTAGCTGGGAAGTATTAGGA